GTGATAATTTCCCAAGCTAGTTTTAGCTGCGGTAAAAGTAACTTTGCACTCAGCCTGAATTTCCCGATTCCTCTCTGCCGAGACACCAAACATTAACGTAAAAAGTAACGGCTTAACTCGAGACATCTGAAACTGCATCTGAAAGCGACTTTTTCACCAATTTTGGTTAAAAATTAAGGTCAATTAATACAAGCGTTCATTTTCCATCTGACCTCTTTTGGAAAAACTCACCTGGTTTTAATCTACAAAACCTTAGGAGCCTTCAACACTTTCTGTAGATCTTTCTTTTCTCTTTTTTGGTCTTTCACAGCCAATGAAATTTATATTTGTAAACAACTGGACGGATAAAAAAAGTAAAGATATGGTAGTTAGCTTAACGTGATTTCAGCTTCACTTTGAAAGGTCGAGTTTTCGCTCCGTAAAATGCTTTCATGCACTGAAACCTATTTTTCTGCTTCTGAGGCACACGGGAGATTCTTATTGTTTAATTACTAGTTTCGCTCACAAACCTTATTTGTTTGTTGCAATCTTGCCCCTGGTGTTTGCTAATTGTTTTCCTCACTCTACGTTGCGCCAAAAGGTCACTGCAGGCTTTTTCCAGTTGGGGCCGAGATTTTAATTTATACGCACCTTAAAGTACTTTCTTGGTATAGCTCCTTACAAGAGGAAAAATGTATTTGGCAGCTGAATATTTCTTTTATTTTCAACAAAATGATATGTTCATTACATTTTAAAATCGCAGAGTAATGATGGCACCTGTCGCATGAATTGCTAACTTTCAATCATGGTGTTCGTGAATAATTCAAGAGCCTCAAGCTTCGTTAACACTTCCTTTGGTATCAATTGGTTCGTTTAGTACTAAAAGGGGAAATCATTCAGTATTGTTCACGTCAACATACCCTACAAGAGAACTAAAGTTTCCTAACCGTAGCATAAAAACATGTAAGGTCATATTAATAACGCTCGGTGTGCCATTATGTTATTCAGTTGTATATCACATACATTTAGAAATGAGTATATGAGACGATAAATGACGATTTATACGTGTTCATGATATGAAAGGTGCAGCAAGATATGATCTCTCGTTGGACTCAGCCCGCAACAGAAAAAAGGAAAACGTCCGAAAATGAAAACTCCTTGCTACTATTTTTGCCCTTGCCTTCAGAAAACGCCACACGTATGATATGATGACTCATATTTTTCATGTTTGATATTGCATATTTGTGCTATTGTGCAATTGATTGACGTTGGTTGTTTAAGAGACTTTTCTTTTTAAGTTACAGAGATTGGCATTTTTTTTTATTGTAATCAGGCAGGTTTTCTTGTGTTATCGCATTGTCGAGTCGTGGCGCAATATTCCTAAACCTTTATTTCGGCTTTTTAGTGTGCTCGTAAAAGCGAGAATGGACATATCATTTTAGACGATAAAATACTGTCTTGCCAAAACTAGCAGCTTGGTCAACGTACGCGTGAAAAAAATTTGGTCATGTAAGTGTATTACAAGCGGTTCGGTTCTCCTGCCATTATATTCGGTGCCTTTTTGTCGTTATACGAGAGGCCTTGTCCAGTTCAAGCAGTAACTGATGCGGTCCTCGTTGATTTTTGCAGGTCGAAAACAGCAGAATCTGATCAACTAGATATGCCTTTTTTAAGGGTTTGTTTTTATCGTTTGTCTCATTATGTTACTGATAATCGCGACGTTTCGACAGCATCAGTACTAGAGTTCTTCATCAGGCGATGACCAGTGTCGATTTACTAATTAGGATTACCGTATTTATTCGAATAAGCGCACAACCTCGAATTAGCACCCACCTCGAATAAGCGCCCATCTTAAAGGCAGAAAAAGTTAATAAGCGCCCAGCCTCGAATAAGCACCCACCCCACCCCACCTTCCTTCCACTCCCACTCAAACGCAAATAAGCGACCATCCCCACCCCACCCCAAAAAATTGAATAAGTACTAAAAAGAGACTTCCCCGAAGACGGAGTTTTCTTCAAAGTATTTTACAGGGACCTTGCCTTGTTACATCTTCGAGTTTTGTTATTACCATTTATTGTTTTGTTGCAATACTACACTTGCTGAAAATGGTGAAAATTTAATAAGCGCCCAGCCTCGAGTAAGCGCCCACCTCGAAAAAGCGCCCACTCTCAAGGTCCAAAATTTAATAAGCGCCCAGGGCGGTTAATCGAATAAATACAGTATATTAGTACCTCTCTCTGTGTTTGCTAGGAATTTGTGTATGACGAGCCTCACTCATGGGTGGTGAGTTTCAAACAGAAGCATTATTGGCATTGTTAGGGGACGAAACTGTTCCCTTAAATATGCCTTCAGGCCCTCACTAAATTGAAACAGGGGTCATTTCCTTCATACATTTAGCGAGATGATATTAAAAGGGTTTTAAGGGATTTTCCCTAACTTGCGATGTGATGTGAAGAGACGAGGTCTGGGACCGAGAAACGATGTTCTCACAACTTGCAAAACGGTCACCAAGCGTGGTGTACGGCGAATAATTACAGTATTTTACACACAGTAAATATTTTTACACTTTTTAGAAGCAAGAATTGAAGCAAACCGGCAGAGGAAATCAGAAATGCTTAAAAAATTGAAAAAAAATCATATCATACATCTTTGGTTTTCTTGCATATCGCATTTGCCTTTCGGTACTGAAATGCGGGCGAAACTAAAACGCAACCGTGCTAGATCTTAACCAACAACAACGCGCTCGATGGATTTATTTATAGGTTACATCGTTTTTGCCGGGCAAGGATAACTTGATGCTGATAAAAATTTCTGGAGCAAGTGTCAAATTTATCGGAAGCAAGCATATTCAAGAGAGCTTTATAAATATGAGCTTACTGCTCTACATATCATAACTGAATAAAAATTAACACTTCATAACATTTCACTTCGTTTATTTCGATCAGTCAACACCTTGAATCCAAAGTTAAAATTGAAAACGATCCTAAAACAAATCACAACTACTACTGAAAGCTCTGTACCTTGAAGCGACTTCAACTTTGCTAAGGTTTGCAGCAAAACACTGCTCGATAGCTCAACTCTTCGGCGGTTCTTAGCAGCTATACGGAGCTATATGTTGCACATTCCAAACTCTGGAAAGGGAAATTGTTTAACAGAAAAAGAAAACCACACGCTATGTCTGAAAAGCGACATAAATCAATAAATTTGCGAATTACCAAAATATAATCCTGAGAAACAGTACCGCCTTCGATTGCCATGTTTTTGTTTCTTCTGAAGACCGTTGATTTATGGTTTTTGACGTAATGCGCATGATCAGTACACAAATCCGCCGGCAAGACCCTTGCTGATCGCTTCCAAGTTGTGAGAACATCGTTTGGAATGTATGGAAAGTAGCTCCCCCCCCACCCCTGGTCCCAGGCGTTCCACGACATTGCACTGTTCGAACGTTTCACAGATCATGGGCGCAATTCATTCAGCTAAAATTTCCGGAAATTTCGGTCCAAAACTCAATGGATCGGTTCGGTCCAACCGGAAAAGTTTCGAAAAAACTGGTCCACCTTTTGAGGTGGACCACTTTTCCCGGTCGGACCGGTTGGAAAATTTGGATGAATGGACCGCGCCCCCAAACTGGGAAACGGATGCTTTACAAATTTTATTCGATAGTGCTTAGTTTTTGCTACTTAGCAGTTATGGTAGAGGGAGATGAAAGTAGCCGGTTAAGGACGGCTAACTAGCCGGGAGTTTTGGCCGGCTACCGGCCCTTATTGACAATCCTTAGCGTTAATGTAGACAGAATTACTTCCGTTTAAGTGAGGATAAGGACTAAAGAACAATTAATTCGTGAAGTATATATTTGGAGAAGCATAAATCTCAATAACTTGCAATCCTGGACATATCTCGTCTCCCTGTCTAAAAAACCGGAAACAGCAGACGCTTGTAAGAAATGTGAAAAAAGACTGAAAATCTAAAGCGATTTCAATCTCGTACTCAGATCTCCCTCGATCACTTTTCACCTTAAGACAGGGTGAGATCCAACCTCGTCATTTTTTAAGGGAAAAGCCCTGGGGACGAGGTTGGGTGAGGTCTGAGTAACAAGATTAAAGCGATGTAACACTTATTCCAGTCGGTGGGATAAAGGGCATTTGTAGCTATGTAGATGTTTCTGGAGAAAATTCGGAATAAAAGTGATTAAATATTATAATAGGACAACGAAGATAATTCTTATAATTCTTTTTATGAAGTCTGTGATATGAGCGTAGGCTCTATAGCTTGTATTATTAAGCAAATTTCTTGGTTATTTACCTTCAAGGCGTATGAGATTCTCTTACAAGCCCTTTAATTGTCGTTACACAGCAAATCGAAAGCAGGTAGCTAGTAGACTCGTTCATACTGTAAATCAGAAATAAACTACCACAACGTATAATTGGTAAAATATCTTGATTCACTGTGAAGAAAACTCAGACTAAAACTGGGTACCAGTAAACGGTATACGAAGCTGAATTTATAAAATTGATATGGTATAACTAATATCTTCAGTCTCTCTTAATTGCGTTTAACATTTTAAACAACTTTAGATATTCAACAACCTGGAAATGAACGAAACGTTTCTTGTTTGTGCATAACGCCACAACACCAGTACAATCTCTAACGCGCCAAAAGCATTTTGGAAACTACAAAAAACTAGTCTTGGAGTTAAACATTAAAGTTAAGCCAGTCGAAATTTTCATCAAAACTTCAGCTGATTTTATAAGTTTCAAGCGTTTTAAATGATAGCGCACGAGGACAGTTGAAGAGTTGATAGTAGCCTATGTAGCTGGCGGATTTAACGGGGGAGTGATGTTATGTTTTCGGGGCGGAGCTCCGAGAAGTAAAATCCCTTGCGGCTACCCCGCCAGGAAAGTACCCCTCGCATAAAAATTCCGCCAGCTACGCAGGCTTAATTGATAGCATCTTCAGATCTCTTCATCTGTAATTAAATATTATTTACATTATATTGAGTTTCTTATGTTTGTGGAACTTAATTAGTTCCCTGCAATTCGCTCTAGCAGACCAGGAGACAACAGTTCCGACGATGTTTCGTGCCCATTCTCTCTCTTTTCTTGACACTTGCACTTGCACTGATGAATGATGGGATACCTGAACTTCACCCATCGGCAGGAAACACGCTCGGAGTCAGTCCCTCTCCTTGCTTTTTTCCCGCCGCGTTTTTTGCAGTTCCAGCGTAATAAGTAAACAGGGGCAAGTTCGGAGGCAGCACATGACATTCCCAAAGGCCAGGAACACTGCTTGTTTACACAGCGGCCCAACTAGAAAATAAACATTAAATAAGTAAAATTAATATGGAACCTAACAACGCTTGCCATGTTGCTTGTACGTATGAACATGGGCATTCATCGAGGATCGTTCGTGTTGGGATGAATTTACGTAGTAAGTGTTTTAAAAAATATTGTGCAAAACATCTAAGGTCGCCAGATTGCTGAACGGTTATTCTTTCTTGACACACGTCACCAACAAAAAGTTATAAAATCTGCAGAAAGTTGCTCTTATTCAAAGTTTGGTGGGTGTCAATCTCTGGCTGATATTTTGCGTGGTCGTAAAGTCACAAATTCGTCACTCCTGTAACTATATAAATCAGGAACAATAAAAAATTAATGCGACATTCACTTCTAAGTAACATCTCAGTGCTATTTCTCCCGACCAACGTTGAAGACTGCCGCGAGTAAAGTGAGGTTGATTAAGAAGACCACGTTAACGAATTGTGTCAGTTGGTAACAAGCGTTACTATTTTCACTAAACTTTAAGTCGACACCTTTATTGCGACTTTCATCAATACGTCTTCTGAAAATAATCCCTTTCTCCTTAGCTTATAGATTAAAGACATGAATTAAAAAGCAGGAGCCTTATGAAGGAAACGATTTAATTATTAAAAGTTAATAAAAATAAGGACATAAATGAAGTTTTAGCGGGTTTAAACTTTTGGCTAAGTTCATCGGGGACAACAACGAAATAACGTTTTGCCATGTAGTGATTTAGTTTTCAAACGGAATGATAATTTATGTTGACTGGAATAGGATGGAATATAAAAATTTTGAAGAATATATAATGGATATGAACATACCATCATTCCTCTTTACCCCCTGAAAGTTGATAAGTTTTTGGTTATAGTTTAATGCCTTTTTTAAGAGAAGCTAATTTTCGTATAGGCAGGCAGTATTTTAAAATCGTGAACGTCCTTGAATTTCGTTGAATGGAATGTTCCTGCCAAAGCTATTTTTGTAGTTTAATATATCACTGCTAAATGTAGATGTTATTACCCGATTATAGCTTCTTAGTGTTGTGTAGATCTGTTTTTGCAACCTCCTGCCTGTGTAGGTGAATGAATTTCGTTAATCTAAGCTTGACAAGCGGTAAAATACTGAAATATTTTTAATCCCGTTGTTCTTCACTTTTGAATACTTGGCCCGCTTTCACTTGACTTCACTAAGCCAGTTGAAAGAAACGACACGTGTAAGTTTAAGAATGCTTTCTTTGTTGGTAAAACCAAAAAGAGGGGCTCGTGTCAGCTAAGCTGGATTAAAGACAGAAAAATTGCCCCATCCTTAATCTAATGTTATTTCAGTTCGAAAAACGGACGTGCTACCTCTAAAGATTCAACAGTTTCCTTGATGACGTGTTAACGATTATCTACCATTACTCTTCGCCTTAAACCTTAATTTTTCATGTGAGATTATGGCTTTTAAAAACTGGCCGAAACATTCAAAAACGAATCAAAATACCTGTTCACATTCCGTTAAGGTCCTGACGAAAACCGTGTTGCCTAAACATTTTCTCCCTTTTCATAATGTTCAACTGGTTGTACTTGAGGACATACTCACTTACAAAAAACTTCGATCTCCTCTCTTTCTTTCTTATACTTCTTTTTCAACTAACTTTTGCTAAATAGCGATCTAAAGTTTATACTGTAGGAGATGATGGTCGTTTTCTTTCGAAAGCGTTTTTCTTTAAAAATGAAGATTTCCTTTTGAAAACAAAGGCTCGTGACTGTAAGTGCTCAGCCACTATGGCTTGTGCTGCTGGCCGGAATGAAGCCAAAAATCAATACATTTCAGTTTGGTCTGTATTCCAAATTAATTGAATTTCAGAAATATTCCTAAACTCTGAACAGATGTTAAGGAAATTCAACCGTGTGTACGCAGAGCTAATTTAACATCTCTTTAATGGTGGTCCTAGGCGGGGAAATCCTCTTATATTCAAAGGGTTAAATAAATAAATGTCCAGATTTCAGGATCTTTATCCTAGTTTCCAATAAGTCATCTTTTAAGGAATCAAACTCTTCTGAATTTTACTATACCGTTATCTTTTGGTTTAGACTAAAGTGCGTAAGCCCCTGCTCCCACGTACTTCTCTATTAGTGCAGCGAAATCAGCCTTAATAAGTTTTAGTACGCGCCGAGTTTCTTGCCTAAAAATTTAAATAAAAGAAAGAAGGGACCAATATTCTTAAAGAGAGAGTAATCAAGAGTGCATAGAGAGAATAGCGTTTGGCCCAATTCAGCTGACGAACATCAGTGAACTAGTGAACGTGTTCTGCACAAACGTTGTCCCAATCGTATTTTCCGGCTTCCAGGGGATAAATCGATGTAAGTAGAGCACTCTACCTCTCATCAACAATAAAATCTCAACTGTTTTTGCAATCTGTTCTTACTTGATTGCTTATCCAATTTTTAGCTATTGATCTGAACTTCCCGGCCGCTTCCGAATATTTCTGTTGGCTGGAGTTTAGATCCGTTAAATCCATTATCCAGAGGCTCTTGTTGTATCAGTTTCACAATGAGGCAACTAAGCCGCGTAGCGCGCGAACTAAGGGCCCTCGTCACTAAGTAACCAAAGTCATTTGCATTCCTGAGTTTGGAATTTGAACCAAAGAACTCAACAAATCTTTCTCCATTTTCATTATTTGATCGTCAAACTTAAAATCACTTTCCCACTCGTGTAAAAAATACATTCACTTTGCAAGATTACTTGTCAAATTAATGAGTTCAATAAGGGGTTACGATCATGACCTACAAATCCTGAATAATTCAACCGCAAAAGGACCTACTCGGTATGCCGGCACGCAAAGTTTAACAAGCTTTGCGTTGAGGACGCGTGTGAACTTGTTGTTTTGATTTCCTGATGGATTGTTTTTATATTACGGTCACTTAAGGCGGTTGCTGTGTGCAATGCGTTTTCAGGGAGGAATCTTGCTTCAAATATTCTGCCAAGGGAAACGTTAAAAGTAACCTATTTTTATTTATTAGGGCGTATCATGAGTACTTTAATTTCTTTAAATAACTCTAGCTCTAGTTTATACAAACATTCCTCAAGTTACGTCATAATTGCATATTTTATTCATCTATTTATTTATTTATTTATTTATTTAAAGATTTTTGCCTAATCATGATTTAAATAAATTGTAACCAGTAATTGCATGAATTTCACAGTCCTTTGGCCGAAAGTTCGCCCATTTTTAGATTAGGAATTCTGAGTTGTGTTTCTCTCGTTTGGGTTTCGATAGAGGTTAACCATAGCATCGTCAAAAAGAGCTTAAGTCACACCCCCCTAAAAGCCTATTAATGGAGTGCATGAGGATTTTCGCCTTTGCATGGACTATATACATCGTAACATGCCCTTAACTTCATTTTTAAAAACATAAAAATAGAACAATATGACACGCTCCACGGTATCTTTCTAAGAGGGGATATCGCTAATAAGCTACTGATTTCATGCAGAGTCAAGTAACAATTTTCATGTAACCATATATAGACGCGTGCATGCAAATAATTCGTTATCTCCCGCGGATCATTGGTTTATACTTTGAATTGAACAACAGCAATTCAGTGACACAACAGTGACAAATTCTGCCCTCTTGTTATCAGTCATGTTAGAAACACGTTGAGAAAACAGATTAACATGAAACAAAAAGGCAGTGCATTGTGCATTGCATGTGCATTGCATGTGCATTGCTTAGTCATGCTTTCATAGGCACTTGTCAGACCAGCGAGACCGATGACAGAATCCCAAATCAGTTCTTTCTACCTTATCAACTCACTTGATGAAACTATATCTTTGCATGTCAGAGCGTAGACTATATACTCTAACCCTCCCTCTGTATAGTATGCTTAAAAGACCTTTTTCTTATTGTATAGATTGAAGCCATTTAAATAAAATTGGAGAAATAAACCTGAATGCAGTTCAATGAAATGTTGTATCGCTTGTGATGCTTTAAGTGGCGTCATGATTTTCCAACTTTCGAGTCTTTGCCTTTGCTTCTCAATTTATGATTGAATTGAAAGCTGCTAAGGAGAATGATCGGTGTGTGACGTTGGGAGTACCAAGATTAGCAACTCTGACTTTTTCAACTTAACAAATGATTCACCGCACTGACTATTGCGACCTATTGCAGTCCGCTTACCAAGATCCATCGTCGGAGACCCAGGGGCAGCTAGTCGGGACGATAGAATGTTCGATCTTATAGTAAACTTTCACTACGAACATTCTATCCAATGGCGGATCTAGGGGAGGGGCTAATTAGACCAAACTGAGGCACGAAGGGCAGAAAATTTTTGTTTTGAGACCGGGCATCCCCCTTATCTCAGGGTCCGAATGACCGCGCCCCTACTCCCCTTATCTGAATGTATGGATCCGCCAATGCTATCGTCCCGACTAGCTGCCCCTGCCGTGGGTCTCCGAGGATGCCCAAGATCCTGTCCCACATACAACGTAATCAGTCTGCCTGTTGACTCTGCGGATTCTCTTGAAGGTGTGGCCATTTAAAAACTATTAAGTTACTCTGGAAACGGATCTTGAAGAAACACTCTTCTTGATAATAATGTTACCTAATAATTAGACTCTCAATTTTGACTCCTCCGTGGTGAAAGGCCTCTTAGAACTGACTAATTACTGGGGTCCTGTGGCGCAAGTTTGTTTTCTTTTACCAAGAACGAGACCAAACTCTGTTTAATACGCTTTGTTTAATCGTGAATGTGCGTATTCTGGAAGTACAAACCAGCAACTGAGAATAAGTCAAAAATTGTAGCTTTCAGCAACTGAACAGCTGACAAATTAAGGTTTTTTTGAACTCACGATGGCTGAAAAGTGGGCTGAAATTCTAACTGATTGCTCGGAAATCGACGAAAATCTATCTGTAACTGAGATTATAATTAGCCACACACCTTCATCTACATATTTGTTCACATATGGGGTACGTGTTTCATAGCTATCCGAGGTCGATATGTCAAAGTATATATATAAAAAAAAAAAATGTTCTTACCGATATCCAGCGAGGCCAATAACAGAATCCCAAATCTTTCCAAGTGTATTCAACAGGACAGTCTGATTTCTGAATGAGCCATTTCATCATATATCTCTCTATAAACGGGGATGGCTTGCCCATTTTTGGTGATGTCTCATTCCTGATGATTTGCCTGAGTAAATTCTTTTCCGACGTGCTGATGCCACGCAACGAAACTTGTCTCACAAATGTATCCGATGAGTGCAAGGGCTCCATTATGGACAAAAATCGCTCGTCAATGCTCCCCGCAAGACGTCTACGAAGCTTCCTCTCGTTTAAATCTTTTTTACTCGGCCGCTGAAGTGCATCGCCACAGTCAATAGTTCTGGGTTGAATTTTTTCCATCGCCGGGTCAATAGGTAGACCGTTGGTCTTTGAGGACTTCAAAGTGAAATGAGAATAACATTGTGAAATTGTCACCTGATTCAGCAACAAGGCTGCTAAAACCACCAGAATTGATGACCAAGACTGTATCTGCTGCATGGCGTATGTTCATTCAACTGAGCTACTTTGCAAGTCTGCCGCGCTTTTTATAGCCGAGTAATGTTGTCTTTACTACAGGCTACCCCCTGAACGCTTCAAAAAGACTCAGAAGTAAAAACAATTGTCGCGACGTGCGGCGTAAACCTGAATTAGCCACTTTCTCTCATTACACAAGCCTGTCGGCCGATGTTGAGATATATTGACCTAGGGTTAAATACAATTCTTGGCACTGCCTCGGCATGTTACAGGTTAACACGTCAGTCGGTGCTTTGGCCTAACTTCAAAATCCGTTGTTAACAAGGTTGAGAACTACAACGTTACACCACTACGTTTTAGAGTTGAGACAATTAGAGAAAGACCTCAACTTATTCTACTAAGATCACTTTGTTTCGTAGACACGGCACTGCAAGCCCTCAGGCATGGCTGTGTGCTTTGTAAATAACCCCTATCATAATATCAGACGTCGAATAAACTTAACAGAAATGCGATTATATTTACCCTCATGAAAAATAGATCTCTGTCGTCCTTTTTTAAGCATGAACATTTTGCATCATATAGTCTGTGTCAGAGAGCTTCATAATTAAACCTCAAAATGATACAATCTCAGTAAGCCGGGTAGATAACCGTGCATGCCGAGGTCTGAGAAATGTTTTACGGCAACTCCCTTTAATTAATTCGCAGTCTTACAGGTTCACAACGTTCTTAGAAGTCCCCGTGGTAGCAATGATGTGTGAGTTAACCGTAACATAATACAAGAGATTCAATAATCAGTGAAAGCTTGTATTGTCTCTTTTTGCTTTCAGTCAGACAAAAATTATCCCTTTTAGACTTCAATTAACTGCACTGAAGACGACACAAACGATTTACCCACGCAGAGCTTTCAGTAGCAGGAAGTCAGTGATTTCTGTCAACTAATATCTACTAATACAGACTTAAAGCTATTGAGTGGTCAGGCTCACTTCTCTTTTGCCAACAGATTAACACATTTGCAGTACACATAACCAATCAATGTATGCGAATAAGCGAAAACAACGAAATCCTTTTTCTCTTCAGTTGTCTAGAAAAGGGAACGGTTCAATTTTTGTGCGTTCTTTATTTTTAAGAAAACTGAGTCTTTTTTAAATCTACAGAAAGTCTGTTGGCAACTATTGCAATAAAAATTTCAGAAAAAATATTTTCACTCTCTCTGGATCGACAGAAATCACTGAGACAGGACGAGAAAAGTTACACTGTTCTGTTAATGGTTTGATATCATAGGGGATGAAACCGCGAATCCCTTCTAATCACTTTGATATCCAATTAATACATGGCCAAGTTAGCATCGTTTCGTGATGAAAACATTGGCCGATTATTCCTACACTTCAACAAACCGGATCAATGACTCGTTTCACGGAACCACGGTCTGCGTCTCAATGTGTCTTTATGGCTGCGAAATAAGAGTTTAAAAGGGAGATCGACATCTTTTGAAAACTAGCTTGCATCTCTAGCTGGCGAATACACGAAACTTGTTTCGACAGCTTATCTAAAGGCTTGCCGGTTTCCATATATCAAACTGAACAGTCTCACTAGGTGTACATTACGCAACATTCCTTATCTACTATATTGAAGTTCGCAGAGGAAATAGAAGAATATGTATAAGCCACGATTACCCCTGAGGGTTATAGCATTGAGGGGTTAAACACTTATTTAAATCATTTAAACAAGTTACCTTTCTTGTTGTCATATCAACTCTCCTTATACTGAAATACTAAATATAGTTTACATTCACCTTAGTCAGACCTTTTCGAACCATTATTGTGTACTAGAAAAAAAATCTAAGCTGTGAGTAATTCTACAAGAACTGATTTGACTTTATAGTCTTAGTTTGCAACATAACAACAGGTGTAGCTACTAAGGTGTCTGATGCGATTCGCCCGTCAGGAAGGATCTTTCTATTTCCTTCTTTAATAATTACTTTGAACTATCACAGCGTTTCCGGTTTGTTTGAAATCTTGGGCCTCTCAAGGGCTGAAAGATAAAATTAGAGTCAACTCAAATGGAAAATCCCTGTCTCTTTCCTCTCGTACTCTCTTAAGGCGCTTGAAATGTCTTTCGTATTCTCGTCGACAAGGTGATTTCTACTATACACGCTTCCTAGGGTTTATAAACCGTAGCGCAATTCTAGCTAGTCGGTACATTAACGTAACAAATATCAGTGAAATCGTAACTGATCCCGTAACACAAAGTGCGGCCATATTCAAGGAGAGAGTTGTAACTGAGAAATCAAACCGCTGTAAGTGTCCCGCTGAATTTTCGCTGCAGATAACGAACGATGGACGAGGACGCCCACGCACGAGAGACATGCAAGCTGCAATAGGCGATCGCGGCCAAAATGAGAAAAGTAGAGACAAGATCGACTGAGGAGGATTGTAACCGATAAATGGAGATGTAGAGCGTTTCCCTTAGTCTTAAATACGACGTATGCCCGAGGAGAAAATAAATTCAAGTCTGAGTGACTAAAATTCAACATAAAGGCACTAGGAATTTTCCCAAAAATCGCGCAGTCGCAGTAACGATGGCGGGTGGTCTGTTGGGCGATTATTCGGGCAGTTACGTGGGGTATTAGCCATTGTAGGTTATCCGCATCTACCTTGATAATCTACACGTTTACAATGCAAATTCGTATGATTTTTTTCTGCAGTCTACAACCTCTGGTTGCTGTTAAGTAATTCAAACGGAATTGGCAGTAAAAACACTATTAATAACTTGGATTGACATTTATCCCTAGTCTCGGGTTAGCGACCGTTAGCGTCAACAGGCTTTCGAAGAGCTGGTTTCTGTTAGCAAAGAGAAAATCTAAACAATGGATCACATCTCTTAAAAGAAAAAAATGCGAATTTTTGTACTATGAATATAGACCCAATATATAACAAACACGGAAACACACAAACTGAAAGAACTAAAATTTCGTTTATTTCAAAATCACTTCTGCTCTTCTACAAAACGCTAAAAAACCTGTTCATGTGTTGCGTTTGTTTGGGAATAGTTGCGTTGAAGTTAGTACGATGAAAGAAAGGCGTGTTGATGTTTCTACACCCGCCTTGCCTGCAGTAAGGCGTGAAGACCCACAAACTTCTCAGTATATTGTCCTTCAAGACACTTGGTAGCACGCCAGTACAACTCTCCTGTAGTACTTGCCTTGTTATCAGGGTGATCAAGCTCAAAACGAATATAGTCCAACCACAGATCTGTTGAAACAAAATGTAACGCACCCAGTATTAGACAATTAACTCCCAGAGGTAAGAAACTTAAAATTATCCTCCACTGCGCCCCCCTCCAAAACAACACCACCACCAACAACAAAAACCAGTATATTAAAAATTTTTAGAAGCCGCAGAAAAAATCTGTGCCATGTAAAAGTACTGCTAAAGGGATTTCAATTGAATGGTCCAAAAATAGCACTTCACCCAAACTAGAAACTTATTTGGAACAACTTTTTATGTTGTTATAAAGTAACCCAGAGGTGAAATGAGTAATCGATTAACAACCCCTTTGTTCAGTGATTTAAGCGCAGTTTTCTGCGCCGGAGTGAACTCGCTTATGTCATGACATATAATAGTCCTACAAAAAACTGAAGTGCTACACAGTTTAAAACATTCCGTGACTAACAGGTTGTTAACACCTCAGAGATTGAAGCCAATTTTCCGGTTGAGTTTTTGGCAGCACATTGTTTTTTTGCCTACAGCCTTTTGATTTGTTTAATTGCAATAACTGGATCAGTCCAAGACGTTAGGAAATTACCCCACCTACCCCTCCCTTACACCGACATTTTGCCTCAATTGAGAACTCAGTATTAACGTTGAATTAGGGGAGGGGTAGGTGGGAAGTTAGCTAATAATAATATGACTGTTTTAAGGCACGTTTCGCTCAGGAACACAAACTATCCCTAGGTCACGTAAATGGCAAAAGCTCCAGTCAACAAAAATTCAACGAAATGAAAGATAAAGCAGAGTTTATTTCTCCTTCGACTTACGCCGACGAAGTCATAACGAAGATTAATGTTAAGCTCAAAAATATTATTTTTGTGACAACAGGACGGAAAGCATTGTAAGTAAACCAAGCGCCTTACAGTAATCGGTTTAAAAAATAAAAAAATTGTTCAAGGGAGACGGGCGACATACTTCTCTCGAAAAAGAGCGAGCGCTTCAACGTCGCCAAATTCTTCGTCAAATTTCGCGCTCGTGGGGAAATTCTAGACCCAGGTAGAACGAAAAACCTTCATTTTCTTTTTGAAACTTTGCACCAGTTTTTAGTGACTCGTAGCTTCTCAGTGGACGAAAATCTCCACTACCATTACACCTGCTAGAAACTAATTTATCCCCAAATTGTTGTTCTTACTTTGCCTATTCCGGAATACGAATACTTCGCCATATGATACGCTCTTTCTTTGTTGAGTCTGCGGATCAAAAGTAACGAGCAGCACTTTCCTACTGTACAGTTCGCTTTGTAATTTTCTCATATGAAAATCCCTTGAATTTATCCAATTTGTAGTCTGTTACTCGAAGAAAACAGCGCTTAGTTTAGGGGCGTCATGGCGGCTGAGATAATAAACTTAGACTTACTTTAAAGACGTCTGTTATGACTATCGTGCGAAAATTTATTTCTGTAATTTTGTGAGCCACAAAGATGAAAGATTCATTGACCAATCGACATATGCAAACCAAATTTCTTAAAAAACACTTGTTCGATCGAGCACTTAAAGTCACATGCGTTTTTTTATTCTCTTTCAAAAAAGAAAATGTTCGCGTTGACTTTTTACTACACTATCGTAAACGCTCTTGAACTGGAAGCGCAAATCACGTACAAGATTTATTTTCAATGGCATGGCAAACTTGTCGGTCTTTTAAAACATAAAAACCCCTGCTAATTAAATGCCTTGTGGTCAAAATCTATTGTTGGATTTTCTAAAAACGTTTCCAAACGCAACAGGATTATTTATAGATTTAAGTGAAAACGGAAAATCCTCTTTGGTTATTTATCTCATTAGTTATATTCCAATTCGGGACATCCAAATTTGTGAAATCCAGGAGACATACGTACAAAAACATTGCTCCACTTTTCTGCACCTCTGACGGTCCCATAAGACAAAAATAACTTACGACGTAATTTCATGGAAAAAACAATAACTATATGTTTTCACAAACAATATATTTGTTTCAGTCATATCAATAAAGTTTGCTTTATGGTTTGCTTATGTTTTGGGTCGAAAAGCGAGACGGCCGGAAGGAGCTGGCCGGAGCCGTTCTTGATGCACAAGAAAATGGAACGAGTAATCGCTGAATGGTTGCGGAATGGAACAGCAGGTTCTAGAATTTCAGCTCCAGAAAAAGACTGACACGCCCATTGTACACACAAAAGTTAGAAAAAGAACTATAAAAAAAAAGAGTGAAACACAGCACTTCTGGGAAAAACCTTTCTATAGCTTTGATATGAATAGAAAGAATTTGGCGGATTACTTTCACCGATTAAGAAGTTTAAAGCACCTTGCAGAGACGAATAGAAAACTAGCAACAAAGCTCACAAGTGCTTATGCCGAGTCCTAAAGCTTCCGCATCAAAAGAACACCAAGGAAACGTACTTCTTCGGTTGGCACAAAAAATGCTCAATAGTTTTTACTCTGGTGCAAACACGTTCATATTTCATACAAACAAGCAAAGCTCTTATGTCATTATCACTAGTTTTGAGTTTAAGTATTAAGTAACATTTGACAATTTTTAGCCTGATGAATTTCTTTAAAAGCAAACATCTCATAGCATGGTTAAAGACGCCATAACGGGAAAAGCGCTTCTCTTTTTACTTACATCGCCGCACTGGAAGACCTAAAACCTTAGACTCAAAAGTTAAACTGGAATATAGATGCAATATAGATACTGCTCTTCACGAACGCAGCTTAGAGCTAGAAATAGTTTTATTTCTTCTCTTTTACTTCTTCTGTTTTTTGCTCTCTTCAGTTCAGTGGTTGATAGTCGATAAGCGGTGACCGAAATATTGCCGAGTTTCCTCAGTTAAGTTTTATCACACGACAAAAAAACGCACCTGAGCGGAACGTGAGCTAGTTTGTCTCAGAAGTTTCACGTGGCGTCAATCCATGTATTATCAGATAAAGCACGAGACAGGATGTCAGAATCAAAGGAAGGAAACTACGTACGTACACTTCAGACAAAACGAGTAGTCGTATAATCTGGCGTACGAGATCCCCGGGTGTTTGGGGGCGTATTCGGTGTTCGTATAAAACTACGACAGACAAAAACAAACTTAAGTGAAAAAGCGTAACGAAAAGCTTTTAAAACTATTTAAATTAGGCGTAAGGATCGAAGTAGTTTCTAGACGGTTTAGGAAAGAGGCGCGCTGAGTTATCGAAGTTACTCGAAAACAAGTCCAGCGTCATCCTATTTATGGAGCAATTATTTGCAAAACAGAAAACACGTACGATGTTGAATTCAATAATTGAGGAAAAGTTCCCTTCGTGCTCCATGACCATCACAGAAACCTACACGTTCCCCACCTTCAAGGGCATTCGTTGGCCGGGAATAACACCGTCATGGCCAAAAACCGTGATTACAAAAGACGTTACATTCGCAACCCCAAAAAGGAAGAGAAAATGAGCTATACGCGAGTGACACTATGGCTTACCACCATGAGGTATATAACAAAATTATAAAACGAGCTTACCAGGATGCGAAGTTCCAAAATGATCAACCGCTGTCTCGTACAGACTACGGACACGCTTTAAACTCAGCTCGTCCTGAGAGAACAAACAATAAGAGCATTAATGCACTGAAATTAAGACAACCTGGTCGCCTTTGAATCGCCGTATAGTCCTTTGCCAGTAGACTGAGTAGAACAGTGTCGAGGGGAAGGGAATAAATTTCCACCGCTACCTAACAGTCACACATACATCCCGGCAGTGGACGATGCAGTAGGTTATATTAATCGTTTCCCTTAAAGAGCTAATAGTACAGTTTGAAGTTTTGAGTTCGGGAACGAATTTCGTTTCTGGGACCATAAAAATGAGGCATGCCCTTTGCAAGCCCTAACAATGATTACATTTGGGATCTCTCAAGTATTTTGCCCATTGGCAAGCACCTATGGTATTGAAAGCCGGTTACTGGTCTACTTTACCTACCCACTGGACAACCGCTATCTATCGCGTATTTAGAACTACGAAGGGCAAAGACTGACACATAAGGGTGAGGTTAAAATGACATTAATAAGCTCACAGACAGTGACGAAGCACTGTAGATTTCTTCAGCAGGGCTTTCTATGTGACAGTGGTTTAAAAAAGATAAAAAGAAAGAAGAAACATTTTTTTGTAACTACTCTGGTGTTTCTTTCTCACTCACCTGTTCGAGTTCCAGTTCGATGCATTTTTGAAAGAAGGAAATTTCCACGGGTGGTGTTTGACTGAGCCTACAGAAAAAAGAAGACAACAATTACTCAACAGAATATCTAAGCTGTAATATTTTCATCGACTTAATTCTAGAACTCTAATCTATAGCGAAAACAAGATGAAATAAATGTCATTTTCACCAAGCAGAAGCAAAGTTACCCATGTTTATCCAGGGATACATGTTTTGGAGCTACACTGCATAGGTACCAACTTCACCCAATACATATTTTGCAACAGTTTGCCGTCATTTATATTGTTCATGGCCCCCTGTTTTGTTATATTTTAATTCGATGAACACGCAAATCGGACCAGAATGTCATTCCAAGGAATGAGGCTCATCCCCTCGCGCTTCGTGTTCGCTGCAATCTCTGTCGTAAAAAAAGTCAAATGAAAAACGGACACCTATAGTTGGTCCCTGTCTTTCTTTACTCGCTTTATTTGACTATCTATAAGACGGACACCTCTGTAAAACGACCACCTAGAGTTGATCCCTGCCTTTCTTTACTCGCTTTATTTGACTCTCTATAAGACGGACACCTCTGTAAAATGACCACCTAGAGTTGATCCCTGCCTTTCTTTACTCGCTTTATTTGACTCTCTATAAGACGGACACCTCTGTAAAATGACCACCTAGAGTTGATCCCTGCCTTTCTTTACTCGCTTTATTTGACTCTCTATAAGACGGACACCTCTGTAAAACGAACACCCAGAGTTGGTCCCTGCCTTTCTTAACTCGCTTTATTTGACTCTCTATAAGACGGACACCTCTGTAAAACGACCACCTAGAGTTGATCCCTGCCTTTCTTTACTCGCTTTATTTGACTCTCTATAAGATGGACACCTCTATAAAACGAACACCTAGAGTTGATCCCTGCCTTTCTTTACTCGCTTTATTTGACTCTCTATAAGACGGACACCTCTGTAAAACGAACACCCAGAGTTGATCCCTGCCTTTCTTTACTCGCTTTATTTGACTCTCTATAAGACGGACACCTCTGTAAAACCGACACCCAGAGTTGGTCCCTGCCTTTCTTTACTCGCTTTATTTGACTCTCTATAAGACGGACACCTTTGTAAAAGGGACGCCTAGAGTTGGTCCCTGCGTTTCTATACTCCCTTTATTTGACTCTCTATAAGATGGACACCTGTGTTAAACGGACACCCAGAGTTGGTCCCGGTCTTTCTATACTCCGTTTATTTGACTCTCTATAAGACGGACTCCTCTGTAAAACAGACACCCAGAGTTGGTCCCTGCCTTTCTTTATTTCCTTTATTTGACTCTCTATAAGATGGACATCTCTCTAAGATGGACACTTCGTGCCGGTCCCAGAGGTGTCCGTCTTAGAGAGAGTTGACTATAAACACAGAGCACGGTAATCTTACCTTTTATAAAGTTTTCTGGCTTTCTTTATTCCTTTTGACTTCACTGTCCACTCAACATACTTTTCCTTCATTGGGGAACTCACGTCAACACAAGATTGCAACGAAGACTGAGAAGATTAAAACCGAAGATTAAAAGAGAAAAATAAAGAAAAGCAATTCTTTATTATGCAGTCCACTCTCTATTCATGAACAATCCTATAAAACGGACTCCTTCTAGAGTTCGTCAGATATTTTGGTACTGATACACTCTCTACATTTTGCCATTACGATAACTGATGGAGGATCATAAGGTTATTTCTATATTGAGATCTCTCCTCAAAGATAACCCACCCAGCCCAGGAAAGGACTGACTCCACTTATCGACCCAACATGACGGTGCACAATAAATGATTCTAACCGCACAAATAAAGTTATGTGTCAATAATTCTAAAAACACTTACTTCAAACACAGCCCTAACTTCATCTGGATTTCTCTCGATACACCAATCTAGCCAGAGATTCCACAGTGGCAGCGATTCCTTAACGAGAATAGAGATCCTCCCGTTAAAAAAGAGGAGACTAACCCTGTTCTTTTACAATTTTTACAGGGAGCAAAAAATATATATATCAAACCACTTGATTTCCAGCTTGTCCTTGGAGTCTTAGGCCTGGTTCAGACGCCGTACTTTTCATGTGCCGAACCGAACTGAATAAGTTCGACTTTGGAGCGACACTGGCGCGACATCTGATTCAGACGGCGTACTGTGTGTCGAACCTAAGTTAAGTTCGACAAAAGTTCGACAGACTCTGTCGAGCTTAACGCTTTCGCCGCACCAAACTAAAACTGCCGTACCAAATTGATTCAGACGCCGCTCTTTTGCCGTACTTAATTCATCAGTTAGGTTCGGCACATGAGTGGAGCGGCGTCTGAACCGGGCCTTACATTTTGCTTTTCCGTGGTTACTACTTGCTTGTCTCGGTTAATTAATTAAGTACAAGATGGCTTGCCTGGTCGTGTTCCCATTGGGCAAGCGAGCTTTTACGTGCCCAGCAAGGCGGAAAATCTGTCCCGGACGACACGACGAAACTTTTTTCGAGTCCTGGGTTTAGAGCCAGTCGCCCAGGCTAGTATTTGTTCAGCTTCTATCAGCAGTACTACTTCTTCGGTCAAAAATCAGTGTTTATTGATCAGGATAGAAGTTTCTATAGCCTGCAAGTAAGCTCTCGCTCGCTTTCATTCATCCTCTAACCAGTCTTACTTCTATTTTAGCGGAGAAATTGTCTTCAAAATTACGTTTTTTGAAGTAGAATTCAATAATCAATAAGCAAAAGAGCTCTAAAAAGTCGTATTTCTTCTCAAACGTGGGATTGTGATGTTTTAGGGTGCAAAAAAACCTTGCGGTAAATCACTTACCTCTGGAGCGTGGTCTAGCCGTACAAACGTGAACCTCAAACCGCAAACCTGACGGCAAGGTCCTGGTCACGTGAATTCTTGACGTTCGCGGCTCGCGGGAAATGTCGAAAAACCTCAATCTTAAGATCTCTATTAAATCTGACCCTCCCCCGGAGTTTCACTGTAGTTTAAAAAGACTTAAAGAGCATGGTTTCCAAGAAATTTTTACCTTAGGCTCCACATTTTTGATGGCAGAAGAAAATTGATTGTGAATGTCCGCGATTTTACCTGTAAATAAAGGAACAGATATTACCAAGAAACATTACAAATTCAAGGTTAAACGGAATTTGCAGGAATAACCATAACCTACAAAAAAAACCAAATAACCTAACCTAATTAAACAGCAGCAGCCGAAAGTTATCACCCCACCATCGTAGAGGTCCAAGAGGACAGAAGATATGTTAAGTGGCTTATCTTAAAGCGCTATCGAAAGATACCAGTTAGTTTAAAAGCTGAGTGCCGTGGCCGTGAGCCTAACATGTTAATGAAAACTTTGTGATCCTGTTCATGTACATGGACAGTGAAATGAACAATCAGACTATGACCAAAAAAATGGCGACTGTACATAGAAACTATTGAATGAAAAAATAACCCAAAGACTAAGTCGTTACCCTTATTTAAGACTTTCAATCTCAGGTATTCACTCCATAAGCTCACTGATGAGTTAAACCGCTCAGTTCCTTTTTTACACACTGATAATGCCCGCTTCGTTTTATCTGTTTGAAGCAAAACACCAACCTGTAGAGATGTAAACGCATAAGAAATTTTAATTATTTATGATGTCTTTCGAATAAGCCCCTGAGTCCCCAGCGGCAACCGAACCCACTGGGGTACCCACGGTACAATGGTTGTATCGTTTCTTGGAATTGACACCAAATAAATATACATCTAAACTAAATATATGACTTACCCATGCCCTGTAAAGTTCTTCTGTTATATGGTTATTGCTGTCTGCCGCTGTAAAAAGTTGTAACACAGTTTTTTCTCGCTGCGTAGCAAAAGAAAATAAAACGCTTGTCATTTTTTGGGAGTAATTTTCTCCGAGCTGAGGAAAACAATACGTAATGAACTAAACGATCAACGGAACAATAGTTCATTAAAGAAAAATTAGCTGCACGTTAACTTATAAGCGTACAGAACAGTTAAAAAGTATAACCCTTTCATCTCAAGCTCTAATATTTTAACCTTGCCAATACGTTAAATCAGTTTCCCTCGAGCCTGAAAAACGAAGGAAAATATTACGCTGAATTGTATCAACAAAGGGGACTGCGTTTTTAAACTGGCACTTTTTAAGGGCTGTCCGGTATCCGGATATTTTTGGCTTCTATCCACACGTATCGGTGAATCCGGCATACGAATACGCGATGAATCCGGAGTCGAGAGGACGCTGAATCCGGATATTCTTTTATCCAGTGACGTAACAAGATCGAGCCCAGGCCCCGGTTCCTGGAAAGCCGATTAAACTATCCTCCGATTAGCGTCAAATCCACGATTAATTTTCTATTCCTCGGATAACTAATCGTGGGTTAAAATGAAAAGCGAAGTAAACCCACGATTAACTAATCCCAGATTAGTGTTAAAACAAACCGGTTTAACTATTTTTTGGGATGATTGCTTTTAAAAAACAAGGCGCGAAAAATGTTTAGGCACGGGTGAAGTAAAGGAAAATGGCGGACAGTGAAGTGGTCTAGATCAATTTTGAGATCAATTTCTTGCTGTCGGAACTTTTTTTCACGTATTTGTGGCAACGGTAAGTCTGCCAATTTGTTTGTTTTTACAAACGTTTTCCCCCGATTAGTGACTTAATTGGCCCCCTCTAGGTGGATTAAAATTAACCCTTAGTTTATTCTTAGATTAAGGTTAATCACACTTTCAGGAACAGAATCTAATCGTGGGACAAAATGTATTACGCGATTAGCGAGATTTAATCCTCGATTAGTGCTAATCGGCTTTCCAGGAACCCGGGCCAGTTGTGGACCGTGAATATTCAAGATGGCGCCGAGCGCAATGTTATCTTTTTTTCCTTCTTGGACTTCAGTTTCAAGTCTTCTAACGTGTGTGCAGTTAAACCTAGCTGTGATTACTGTACAATTCAGTTACGCCAAACGGCGGCACGCCATTCTGAGGCTTGATTCCATGTCGGACGGACAAATTGGAAGACGCAGTAAACAAGTTAAACGAGCGAATTTGTGCTCGGTGGGGGTAATTTCGTCAGCAAAACAATTATTGAAGGCTGAGAATGGCGAGCAAATTCTTGCATCAGCCGAAGATCGCTTTATATATAATAGTTGACGAACTGAGGTGTGGACGGGAAATTTTCGAATCCGCAAAGAAAAATTTGCGGATTTAAAAATATCCGGATACACGTGGAAGGAGCCTAAAGTTCTTGCTATGTGTTTTAAATTTGGCAACGGTTTGTTCTAACCATCACCGAAAAAACCCCTCCATGTCCTCTGAGCGCTACACAAGCATGATAGCTTAATTACACTGATATCAAGCAAGAAAAAAACTTCATAACTGTACAAATGATACATGTGTTTTTGTTCAGTTAATTTTATGTAAAAACATAACTATAATGCAAATTATAAACCCACTCTTTTTGCTTCTGTTGTGGAACTATCAGCCAGCAATTCCATAAAAGCTTTGATGTACAACTCCCACATTTTATCTGGTGACAAAACAACAAAAGTGAATTACGGCCCTCAACACCTTGCCCCAACAACGCGTGCAATTGCGATGTTATCAGGGGCACTAAAGGACTGTTTTCAGGGTCTTTTAACAGGACAAAGAGCCGTTTAAAAGAGAACAAATGAGACGCATCTTACATAGGACGCGTCCTAAATAAGACTCAAACTATCCCGTATAAACGGCACATTTCGTTTGAAATTTAGCTAAGACGCGTCTTATCTAAGAACAGTCCCTAACACCTGTTCTTCGATAAGACGCGTCGTTGCTAAGTCGCGTCTTAATGTGCCGTTTGTACGGGATCGTTTGCGTCTTATTTAGGACGCGTCTAATGAAAGACGCGTCTTAGTTTTCCTCGTATAAAATGGCCCTAATATCTCTTTCCTCTGCAGAAGACCCTTTGTGTCGTAAGGAGGCTGGGAGGACGGAAAAGGAGAGCGCGCGAAGGACGAGGGGAAGGGGAAAGAAAGCAAGAGAGGCTCCCGCCTTTTCTTTTTCCCATCGTCCACCGCGCGCTTACTTTTTTCTAATTTTTACCCAACGGAAGCCTCTGCGGAGAGAGAGCGAGAGTGGGAGAATATGTCAACGGTAACACAGGTTTAGCAACCACGCAAGAGGCATTTCCCTTCCTAAGCGAGACATCTAAACCACGGTGGGAGTAACACGCACATGTACGCGTATATAATATGACAAGATAACGAAGAATGCAAGAAATCATTTTAACCTGTTGGAACCTTCTCCACAGCATCTTGAAATAACTTGTTCATCTCTGCTTCCAGCTCACACCACTGACTATCTGTGAAAAATGATCCACGCGTAGTACTTTTCGCAGACTGCTGTGCTGCGCGCTATATTTAAACTACCTGTAGCGGTCATAAATACTTTCTTATCATTCACAAAAACATCCTTGTTGCCACAATGGGACCAAAATCTACAACCATTATAACCTTGCTTGGTTGTAAGGATATCACTGTACCACGGACCAAATTTTCCCTTAACTTACAAGTCATTTATTGCATGTTTTGTAATCATACTGTTGATTTTATCTTTGCAAGTAGTAATATAAGTAGTAATGAAATTAGGTTTTTTATCTGATCACGTATGAGATTTATTTTGCACCGTTTTTATCTGCTTATAATTATCCTAATTAAAGAAACAGGCAACTTGAAGCTATTTTATATCGTATACCGTCTGCCTTAAACACGATTAAAATCTCTCTATTTTTTTCGTCTGATGAGGCTAAGCGAGAAAACATTTGTTTATGTCTTTTGAAGCAAGTGAGAGTGTTTTTAGTTGGAATCAAAAACATTTTCTTGCTTTTAAGAAGCAAATTCAGTTTCGGCATCCTGACAATTAATTTTAGTTTGCGCGCCTAAACTGAAAGACAATTCCATCAGCAACAATGTCTCAGTCCCTAGCCAACCAGGGGCTCGTTTCTCGAAAGTCTTGATAATTAACGGGCCCGTAAAGCTGTTTGGGTTTATATGAAAGATAGAGGTTTCTTTTGATTTTTTTTTCAGGCTTCTTCTTTCCAATTGCTTAAATTGGAAAATTTACTGCGATGATCATTCTTCACTTTCATCTACAACCGCAGTTCAAAAGTGAATTATTTCATATACTTCACATCACAGGTTTCTCAATAGTTTTGCATCTAACATGATAAAACTATCAGTTAACGAAACAAAATGGAGTAGTTTGCTAGTCAGGTCCCGCATTTTTATTCTTTATATTTTGATTTGAATATTTGATTTCGGGCCCGAAAAGTTACCGGGACTTACGAGAAGTGGGCCCCAGATCCCGTAGCTCGAACAAAATATTATGCTTTTCCCATGTTTCGAAAATGGAGCCCCGCCCATGGATTTTTTTTGTACCATCATTAGGTGGGTTACAGTAAAAATAAAAGAGTCAAGTCTCATGGACTGGTGATCACATGACGTTATTTAAAGATCATCAATCATATCGTACACGAAACCTCTGCTTGTGATCTTTGTTTTTAACGAGACGTGATAAGAGGTTAATTTCATAACTCAAAAAGAAACTTCATATGAAATATAGGGAGAATTGGCATACGTACCGAACAGGCATAATGAAAGGTACATGCAACACATTCTTGTCTAACATACAGTACAGATGACCCGTGGTAAGTTAGCAAATCTGCAAACCTGTTATTTCTGTCATTCCTTTCTTTACTTCACTTTTCCTTTCATCAATGGGTCGACGGGCCACTAAATTCCAGACTTCTTCTGACAAAGGAAAGTCCTCTACTAAGCTGCAAAGAATAAAACAAGATGTGAATCAGAGCCAATTTCAGTCGTGAGGCAGAGCTACAACTGTACCAGATTATGAAGATGCTTGCATGATTGGCAGTACAACTGAGCTGCGATAAAAGTCGGTCATTGGACACTCTGACTATAAAAATTGCTTACTGTCCAACAAAAATGTTACATGTACCTGTGATTGGATACAATGAATGGGCAAAGAATGTCATTTTCAAGCAAAAGATTTATATAGTACTTAACAAAATGAGTAAGTCAATATACATGTAATGTATTTCTATAATAACGTTTCTAGTGTGTCCGCCTGAAATTTTCTCCTAGGTGGACATACGTTGTATGTGAGAAAAACTCATTTCATCCCTGCGAGGGGAATTCATGGAGAGTTCACCTGATAAAACTGGTGCAATTCTCTCCAGGGAAGGTAAATGAAAAAATAAGAAATGCAAAATATAGTCAAACTTTTACCTGTTATACACCAAATCACAACTTTGTTTTGTATCTTCAAAGAGGCGATAAACTTCAATAAAAGACACTCTGAATTCTATATCATCTGCAAGTAAGAAAGTAAAAAAGTAATAATAATAAAATAAAATAACCAAAAATAAAGATTTAATTAATTACTTGTGCAGCAGGAAGGTTTATGTTATAACTGTCCCTCAAACTACACAAAGTAATGGCCAAAAAATATATATATACATTATCCATCATTAAAAAAAAACTACTCACTTATTTAGAAAATAAACAATGAAGAAAAAAAATGCATCCCTCAGATTTCATCTCTAAGTAATATTAATGATAAAATGTAGCCTGTAAGATGAAACAAAAGCTGGATATTAAACACCTGTCTGTCTGGAATAAGCCAGTAAGAATCTTAAACACTTCACATACCTGGTATACATTGAATTGCCTTTTGGTAAACTATTTCAGGAACTTTTCCAGCCAAGAACTCTGGACTCACTTTTTCTTCTTCCTGGGTGAAAAAAAGGTAAAATCAAATGAAACCCTGGAGTACTGTACCACAAAATGGGATGAAAAGAGGTAAATGAAATGATAAATAATCTGTTACACTCTGACATGTTCTATAAAAAATAAGGGTTATAGGTTTATTCACAATTAATTAAAAACAAAAAATCTTGCATGTCAAATGCAAGATTTTTTGTTTTTGCAGTTGTCTGCAAATACAATACAATCTGAACACATGAAATTGATTCTCTTTTTAAAATGTAAACTGTACATGTAGATGACGTACAGTGTATTTAATTACAGAAAAGTTTTGCTCTGTGGAAATACCGGTAACTTAAATGCACTGTAAAAACTAATACGCCAACAAGTCTAAACAAAAGGAATTTCAGTCATGTTTTAGCAAGAGACTTACCCACTCAAAATAGCAATAAACATTTAAATCCTTACATAAATCCCTTCAGTTTCAATTAAGGAATTTTAATTGAAGATTGTACAAGAATTTACCTGTGACTCCTGTGTTTCTTCCTGGTCATCCAATCCCAGAATTTTTCTTCTTTTATGAATCTGAGAAATAATGATAATGATAATGATAATGATAATGACAATGACAATGACAATGACATTTGACAATGACAATGACCATGACAATGACAATGACAATGACAATGACAATGACCATGACCATGACCATGACCATGACCATGACAATGACCATGACCATGACCATGACCATGACAATGACAATGACAATGACAATGACAATGACAATGACAATGACAATGATAATGATAATGACAATGACAATGACAATGACAATGATAATGATAATGATAATGATAATGATAATGACAATGATAATGATAATGATAATGATAATAAAAGGAACTCACTGAAGGTAAAGGGTAAAATGTGAACTATGGACCTAATGAAAGTACATTACACTTTCATTTTACACCAGTTTACTTACTTTTTCAACATGTAGAAGCTCCATTCTGAAATACTGAAATAAAAAGACCATGATTGTAATTAAAATTATCAAAAATTATTCTCTAATACACGTATGATATCTAAAAAGTTGATATTACCATCAATGATTGATGTGAAGAAATTATGAGTCCAGGACTCAATGTTACTAATAAAACAGTGATTAATTTGCAAGTGGAAAAAATTTACCCCTTGCCTACCAAGGACGTACATGTACATATATATACAGTGTACATGTACGTCATTTGTGTGAGGTCACTCAGCGACCCAGGCGTATAATTATATATGTCCTGATTGACATGAGACAAATGAATTCACCAACAGCCCAGTTGTTTGAGTTGTCTTGAATAAATGAACTCTGGTCGTTGAGAAATGGCTGCCAGTTGGTGGGTCTCTGGTAGGCAAGGAGTTAAATATCCTGAGTGCAGATTTTGTTTTGGGAGACTTTAAAACAATAGTTGTAAACACTGGCTTTTTACACTTAAAAAAGTTTCATTAGTTCGACTTAAGGTCAGGAAGCTGCCAATATTTTGCACCTGCTTTTCAACGCAGCCTTGATGGTCAGAACAGAGGAATCTGCGTAGGCTTTATAGGCACCTCCTCAATATAATGTAACCACCTGGGTATTTTTTTTACCACATTCTTCCAGTCGAAACTTAAACTACACCCAGTCTATACAAAATGTAAAAACCTTATCAATGCCTCTTTAATGGAAGAGCAAAAGAGCCTAGTTAACTGCAAATACAGTGTAAGGTTAATACACATAATGCTCGTACATTTGTACAAGAATTCTAATAATTATTATTATTGTTATTATTATTATTATTATTAATATTATTAAGAGTTTTATTTACCTCCAGCCAAAGTTGTTTTGATGATGGGTTCACTCGAAGTCCTCTTTGTAACAAAGTTCTGCTGTTTGGAATGTTCTTGTTGTCTTCAAATTCCCACTTTGCAGCCATTATCCACAGGTCTTGATAAAATTAGCAACAGTAACAAAAATAACACTTACTGCTGTTTTAATTCAAATTCACTGGTACATGATTTTTTTTTAATATACTTATATAGCGCTGCTGTAGTTTTCTCACTTCCCAGTTTGGTTTGTGACAGTGGAAGAGAGACTGAAGGGAAACAGTGTTTGAATCCTACGCACATGAACATCTAATGCTGATGTAAACTATGATTCTTATTGTTTAATTCCATTAAGCACAGCTTGTGAGCTTTGCCGGATGGTCTTCCTCTGACAGCAAACCACTCCCGGTGACATCAGGTGTCTAGGAGTTAGTGTCTACCCCCAGTTCACATGCCCTAGCTGTGATGGTAATTACTGACATGTTGCATCAATAATTTGAAGAGATGAATTATCATTATTATAAAGGGTTTTCAATAGGATTTGAAGGAGGTGTCTCTTCAACCTTAAGTAGGTGGATGTGACAAATGGAGGGGCTGTAAACTAGGGAGGAAAAAGCAGCAAATAGAATGCAAAGTAACTGGCCACAAATTCTATGGTAGGCGGCGAGCAATCACCGGGTGCCGCATTCTATTGAGAACCCTTAAAAGCCTCAAAATTTTACCATGTCTATTTTAGCCTGAGAAAAAGGCCAATACTGGTTTCCCACAAAATGACATCTGAAGAACAAATGCAGAAATTTCATACTGATTGCATGAGGCAAATTTTCAACCATGAGAAGTGCTAAACAGATCTAGTTAGTGATGTGTCATCAGTAAGTAATTTCTGTGGTCGTTCTTCAGATGCCATTTCCCATTGGTGATGTCACAAAATGTCAGGTGTTTTCTCAGGATGACCATAATAATTATTTTAGTTTTAATCATTTGCCAATTTTGATAACAAAGTGTGGATTATCTAGTACATTCGTGTTACTGTTTTGACTTTTACATTCAAATTTTTTGCAGCTGTAGTTGCAATTTCCTTTTCAAACAATTTTGATTTCAGTGTCGAGCACGTTAGTTTAAGTTAAATAGAAACTTCCCATTGTGGATTTACTGGTGAATAAATACACCCACACACTTTTTTTGCTTTGGCAATGTCTTGTGCAGTACATATACCAGCATTTTGAATGAATTTCCTGTTAGTTCTGCTGCTACTACATGTACGTGTATTAATTTATTTGCCAATAAAACACTCACATGGTTGTCTGAAATTTAATCAGCACATATGTTACAGGTCAGAAATAAAAATATGTTTAACAAATGTTTTTCTAACCTTGGTTGATTCTCAATTCCTTTTCTCCTAGCCCTAATTCATGAATAATTAGAGGTACATTTGTAGCTAAGAGACAAAGGAAAATGAGAATCAACCTAGGTTATTTTAACCTGAATTTAATCTTGACCTGAAACAAATACACGCCTGGGGCACTCAGCTATACATATTTTTTTCTGAAAAACACTAACTTGGATTGTTTGGGTGGTATTGCAGGACTCTGGCCAAAACTTTGCCAAGCATTTTCGTGCTTCCCTAAAAACAAAATAAAATACAGGTCTTGTGAGGCAGCAGGATAATGAAGGCAAATTCAGCCCAGCATGCTTTAGATAACCTCAGGTATACCTTTTTCATTACTGCTGAAGCAAGGACCAATAACCTTGAGGGACTTGGGATATTTTTGTTCATTTGATTGAAGGTTCAGATCAACAAACAGCCTACACCTGTATTAGCATTGCACTTGAACAAATTAATGTGCACAAGCCAATCACCAGCCTGATTTTATAAAGAACAGAAATTCAACCAAAGTTAGCAAGTTGTTTTATTGAAAGATTCATTAGCCTCAGTGGCCAGTCAGCAGTTCGCTATAGTCAGTGAAACTCACAATGTGCCCTGCTGTTTTTCTGTTTCATGGGAAAGAGACCTACACTGCATGAAGTTCAGCTTCACAGCTTCTTTGTTCTCTTTGATCGCTTTTGCCACTCTGTTATGATTACTTATTTTCAAGAAAGCACTACAGCCTTTAGTGAGCAATCAAGAGGCCAACTGTGTGCATTTACACGTCCATTTGTTTTTTCAATTACTCATAATGAATGCAAACAAATTATTATTATTATTATTATAATTTTACAAAAACACATAGAATGCACATAGCTTACCATGTGCTTACAGAACTCAATGTACTGGATCCAAAGTTTGATGTCCCCCTAAAACAGAAAGAAAAGAAACTTTTTGAGCAGGGGGCACGGATATATGTACATGTACAGTGTAGCATTTTTTTAAAAATGAAAAATAAAATAAAATAATGTGTTTTCAATAAAAAGTTGGTAGTTTTCTAATAATAATCATGTCATTTTATGAATATTATGATACTCACCACAAACTTTTTTAATGCATTCTGCAAAAAAAAAAACAAAACAAAACAAAATAAATAAATAAACAGATTAAAAATAGTTATGAGAAGGCCATACTAAAAATTAATATGTGTATGACTTCCCTGTTATCTAAATGTTCTAAAATCCAATTAAGTCTGTTGCAGCTTATTCATCAATCATGTCTCTAATTCTACTGGATTCTACAATGTACAGTTGTAAATATCTTTATTAAATTTGTGCATGTGTATGTTACAGGTCAAAATTAAATTCGGGGTTACATTTTTTAACCTACAGGACAGGTGTAGGTTGATTCTCAAATTCCTTTGCCTTCTTGTGTTAATTCATTCATTATGCTACAGTAACCGGAGTTTGTTGTCAACAGCAAAAAAGCCTTAGACAATTTTACCTGCACTTACTTAAGTACATTGTGAATTAAGTGCTGCACCCCTTAATATCACAAAAAAAAAATAATGAAATACCTGAAAAAGTGTGTGAATTCTTTTCATGACAATTTGCTCCCCATGCAAGTTTCTTTTGATGCCAAGTCTCTAAATATTAAGGAAATAAATGATGCAAGAATTATGATTGTCTTCCACAGCAGCTGGCATGAGAAAATAATATGCAGTGTAAGGTTTTATAATACTTTAACTCATAACATACATGTATGTATACTTCGGTTCTTTTTTTCCTTTACTTAAATGTATTTTCCTTTCCTTTCCAATCATATCACACAAATATAAAATAACCACTCCCAAAACATAATTAAAGGAAATTAAATTTAAACCAAAGATAAAATTGAAGGAGATTTTATGGTAACAAAACCACTGCAGCAAATAAAGGCACACATAATCTGCTGCTGTTTTACATTGAACAATCCTTTTTGCATAAAATGTAACAGAACTGTGAAATTCAAAAGCATTTTGAAAAGCTTTTACAGCTAATTACTGGAAAATTTCTTACCACTTTTCTTTTCTTCTTCAGCATATCTAAATTGATCTCGTACTACAAATTAATAGGGAGACAAAATAATTATTGTGATTGTTAACTTACAGTACATATACATTTAGATCACTGTTAGACAATAGTTTAAAGTACAGGTCCCCTCTCACAGTGTAGTACAAGCCTTGAAGTCTTGAATTAACTTATAGTACCACAATATTATAATACCTATAAGGGAAGCCTAAGGAAGTTAGCTTTAGGACTTAAAGACATCCAAGTTTTAATCTTATAATGAGATTTGTAATCTTCAGAGTTAATTAGTGTTTGGGTACATGTAACATTTTCATGAGATTTGTGAATTTGAAAGAGAAGCTGTCAGCCCTTTACCTAGATCACTTGACTGTGAATTGTTTTTAAAATACCTCAACCAAGGAATAGCCTTAAGTTAGTTATACTGTAGTTGTGAATATCAAGCACTCATACAGCTGTATATTATTACTTAGGAAAAATGACTTTAAACAGTATACACGCATACCTGCATGTATCTAAGAAAGTCTGCCTTCTGAACAATTCTTTTCTGTAAGTGGTATTCATATTCACGCCTCTTTGTTATGATATTCCTATATAAAGGAACAAAGTGTATTTATATATGAAAGAATGCTAAGGCAATCAGACAACTTGGCAGTTTGTGTATGAACTGCAGATTTCATCTAATAACATAATAATTCACTTTACAATGATATGAACATCTCAATAAATAATTTACATCTGTGGGCATACAAAGTAAGCCAAGGTAAAGATGAAGGTTTGTGTTTAAGGGAAGTCCACTTTATTCAGCTTGTTTAAAAAAAAATACACTCAAACAAAAAGATAATAATTATACAGTTATTATTGTATAATTATTGGGAAGAAATATCCAAATAAAAACACACTTTAACTGGACTATCAACGGTGACTGCTAGGAGGCAACCAGTTGGCTATTTACATGCGTGGACAAGAATACAAATCTGCTATGACCAAGAAACAGTTCCAACTTGTGGTTTGAGTACAACCATCAGATTGTGAGTATGACATGATGACCACTCAGCCACACTGCCTCGCGCCCCCTCCTCCAAAACTTCATCATGGGTTTAAGGTGCAGTGTCTAGATCTCCAAGAGTAAGAGCAGCCTCAAAATGCAATAGAACCATCTCTATCAAATGAAATCCATAAAGGCGTCCAGTATCAATTTCTCCATACAGCATCAAGGAATAATCAAGGAAAGAAGTCAAGAGATTTTAAACAATGATAACCCATCAGCTGTAATGATCCTCTTACCACTTCTTTCAACTTATGCTATGAGAAATTTATGGAGGCTTGTCGATATACACGTAAAGGGGCAGCATCGCCAAGGGCTGCTCTGAACACTGGACTTGCAGTTCAGAGGCTGGATTTTTTTCTCAGAAGTCACAATTTCAAATGCTCGGCCACACTAATCTTGTAAATTACCAGGTGGGTAGTCTCCTGTCAGTCAGGATTCATCACTCTGTTAAGTTTTAATTTAAATCATTTGTTTCAGGCATTTACTCAGCCACACTAGCATTAGTGCCGTAAACAATGCAAAGGGCAATAAAGGATTATTATAATTGTTTTTATTTATGATGATATTGCGGCTTTAAGTATTTAAGTTCCCACACACTGTAGTTGTACATGATCATCAAATCCTACTAAAGCGACTACGAGACTAAGAATCGCGTGAGACGTACATTTACACCTTTAGTCAATTTACCTTTCACTGGGACAGTTTTAACTGAATTAAAATTTATATACGGTCAATTTCAAATTCACCAACTACGGGACTCCGGATCGCTTTAACAGTAAATTTACCCCAGTTATTTGTGGCTGGGTATTCTGAGGTTGCCCCTGTCTAAAGCTGCAAATGATAAATAAATTTAACTTTAAGAAATAGCTAGCTTGTGATTGACCACGTTTCAAAACGCGTGAAAGGGGTTCGAAAAACTGCGTACCTTATTTCATCACTGGAGAAGACTCCCATTCTCTCCAGCTCCTCTAGTTCGGGCAACATACTTTCCAAGTTTTGATGAACATTCTCTGCCATCTTGATTACACGTTAAAGAAGAGGTAAAGGTAAAAAGTCTGATACACTCCGTTATTAATGTCACAAGGCCTAATCCGCCATATTGAAGTAGCGTCAATGGGGTAACCTTCGTGTTCGCCTACACGACGTAATAATTTATCAAGCAGCGGGAAAATACAACGTACATGACAAGGAGTAGTACTTGGTGTAAGACTGCCCAAAATCTCACTGCCCAGGTGCAACCGCTTGATAAACCAGGCTACAGGTTGCAATCCGACAGTATTAAACTGCGACTGTACAAAGACTTTTAAATACCTGCAGAGAATAGAGGAGGTCGATAACATCTCTTAGAATTCTTCCATTGGCGTTGTCAGGAGGATTTTCTTTAAAATAGCAAGTTTATTGACTGCAACTGGAAGCATGATCAGATTCTGGACTGGCAGTGTCAGACACTATCAAGACTTTTGTATTAATTTTAAGTACGTACAAAGATTATGGGGCCACAGAAAATCCCTGTTAAAGGACGAAGAGATGATTCCAGCGCCTGTAAGAGTTTTTGAAAGGAGAACCAAAAGGTACGACACCGCATCTGTGTGACATGTTTGCAAGCGCTGGAAAGATTCCGGCTTGTTCAATCAATTAAATCATGATCAATGAACGATCAAAATTGGTTTCAGTAAATTTCAAAATGATTGGCTGGTTTAATATTATTGAGACCCTGTTAGGGGAAAATTCAGTGAAGTGACCTGGCCTTGAAACAACAATATAACAGGGTGGCAAAGAGGTTTTCTGTGTCAGCATGATGCGTGAATGGGCCCAAGTTAGCCGCGGAAGGTGTGATTGGGCATAGCAGGGTGATGAGTGAGGCCTGGTTCAGACGCCGTACTTTTCATGTGCCGAACCTAGCTGAATAAGTTCGACTTTGGAGCGACACTGGCGTGACATCTGATTCAGAAGGCGTACCGTGTGTCGAACAAAAGTTCGACAAAAGTTCGACAGACTCTGTCGAGCTTAACGCTTTTGCCGCACCAAACTAAAACTGCCGTACCAAATTGATTCAGACGCCTCTCTTTTGCCGTACTTAATTCATGAGTTAGGTTTGGCACATGAGTGGAGTGGCGTCTGAACCGGGCCTTATTTACTATTTTCACAAACCGTGATGCTTGATTTTCCTTTGAAATTTCCGTGATGGTTAATATCATTTGAAACTAGAAGCAGAGACATCAAAAATATGTAGTTATGACATCAACTCTTCCCTTTTTTCCCATTCCTCAACCCCTGATTTCCTCAGATCAAATGATAACCGTAAAGTTGTTAAAATAGTTAACATTTTACTTTAATTTTTCCGTGATGTGTGATAGCTTAAAAAATAAGTGGTGTGATGTGTGATACACTGTGTAGGTACCCTTCCCCCTTTGCTAACCTGACGTAAGACAGCTGAAGTGCTGACAAGAGACACACAAATGGCTTGAAACTGCGACAGTGACAAAGAAAAGCGCAGATAAAATGGTAAAACACCAACAGGGGCATTAGGGCTTTCTCCTCAATACTTGAAAAGAGGGATTTTGAAGACCAGGGAGACACGCACCCAACCCTTATTAAGAAGGCCTTTTTAACAAGGCACGTTCTTGTAATAATTCTACTGATCACAGATTTCCAATATTCAAAATGTGGATGAGTAATTTGCAATCGATTAATATTTAATTTCATTTTGTGGCATTACAGCTTGCAGCTTTACTTTTCTATTAGTTGATCTTGGGATGGGCAACTTGTGGCACAGTCTAAACTCAGAGCGTGTATTAAAATTAATACATTCTCTTACCATATGCTGTGAACAGGATCTCCTGTATTTGGAGCAAAAGATTGTTGAATACATACATAGTATCATTACACCTACACCATTATTGGCTTGGCAACCCCTGGTCCCATAGGCAATGATGTTGAAAAATTCATAACCCTTCAAACTTCATCTCCATTATTCTAACTCACTTACTTTGGTCAATAATTTGTACAGAATGTAGGTGAACTCTTCTGGAGTTGAATTTCAAGTCAGGGTGTTCATTAGGCATCAGAGATTGGAGAATTCTCCATTTACTACGCAGAATTCTCCTACTAACGTGCGGTAGCTTAGGACTATTTTTTACGCAGACGTGTAGCCTCTTTCAAAATATTATCCTGTAATGTTACGCCTTTCTCCGCTACTAGGATCCTTAATGAAAACCCTGCAAGTTCAGTAAGAGGAAAAAAATTGTCATTACTTGGTTCTGTCGGTAATAAAATGTGAGGTAAGGTCATTTTCATGTTGTTGAACTTTGTGTTGTGCAGTGAAGGCAAGGAAATGTACTAAAAAGTGTGTTACTCATGCAGAGTTGTGGTTTTGCTTATTAAACCTATTGCTTTTTTGAGTTCTTGTTGCTGTTGCCATTGTTGAATCTCAAGGTCCCTATTGATAGTAATCTAAGTTAAGTCAACAAAATAACATGTGTAAGTGAACATTGTATGCCACCAGAAACATCAGACAAATCTGTAACTATCTCTGAAAAGGGGACTGGGAAACGTTTATCAACACACGACCTTGTGGCCGGAGAGTTTGTAAAAGCATCTTGTATGAGCTACCAACTTCTAAACTACAAGCAAGTTCCAACAGTTGCAAAATACTGCGGTGAGACTTTTCACAAAATTGAAAAATAGGTGGTTGGGGATTGCATGGGTGGCAAAATGTGTCGCGACTGAAGTAAACAAAAATTTCAATATAAAAAAAGGGGGCCACTGGGCTCTGCTAGAGCACAGCCCTGAAAACCATTCAAAGATTAGGACTACTTGCCCATCCCCTTGCCCAGCTTCTCTTTCAATGGCAAGGTGCCTGCATATATATCTGAACTATTACATATTTTCAAGACCCATCTTGGACTTTCCTCTGAGCCTTCTTGTATTTTTTATGGTTAACTTATAGAACATAGAATATTTTTTAGAGTAATGTGAGACCAAATCTTGCCTGTGTTGCTCACCTGTGAATTACACATAGAGGATATTACATGGCCGTGCAGAGATACAAAATATCTCTTTGAGTGTTGAGCACGAGAAAGAAATTACAACCGCCCTGGTATAGACTTGGACTTTCCTCAGAGCCTTCTTGTGTTATCTAGAAGTAATACTGTTACAATCTGTACACCAAGACTGTGGAACTCCCTTTCAACCACCTCTTCCTTTTAACGAGATTCTTTAATGAGTAACATGTGCGTGATACTAAACCACTTCATCTTGTTGCAGGTGGAGAGTTAATTAAGAAAGAAGGTGCTAACAATGAAAGTGATTTTTGGTATACAGATAACCTGGACCTGTAAGTATTTTTTATGGTTAAATAATAGTTATCTGTTCCTCACTGCATCCATTTGTCGTACTGCAATCAGATTGGGGATAAATTTGGCTCCCTTCTCCTGTTTATCAAACCAGCAATGGTCTACTCCCCAATACTAATAAACTTGCTGAGAAGACCATTGCCAAACTTCAAAGGGATCTATACAAGAAACGTAACCGTTACTCCACAAAACTAGGCCCCAACTCAAGGGTTAGTCCTCGAGAGGTCAGGGGCACCCAACGTCAATTTTCGGAAAATTAATACCTGTTCAGAAGACGATTTGAGATCTAGAATTTTCGGGACATTTGTTGTAAAATTTCTTGCTTGCCTGCCTCTCCTAGGATTTTTTAACATGTAAAAAATGGTATAATTTCCCATTTTTAACGGATTTTACTCTAAAAAAAGTCGCCTAGAATTTTCGGGAACCTTTTTCATGGCAGAAATTTTTTGAAAAGGTAAGTTTTGATCCCTATAATTCTCGGATCACTAGACTTTCAGCTAAGAAATCCGAACAGATGAAAAATTTTTAGGGGATAAAAATATGCCTATATCTACCGTTTAAATACTAAAATGCGTTTAACAATGCTATGTTTAAGAGGTTTGAACTATATTCTCGTTGGGTACCCCTGAGAGGTCTTTTTGCTGGACTGTCCATGGGCGACGCATATATAAAACGTTTCAACTGGTTAATATCTTGCCATGTACTGGTCGCCTCCGAACCAATGATCGAGGCCAATCTCGCCGAGGCGCCAGTCAGGTTCAACACCTTCGCCAACTGCATATAATATAGGGCAGTGTATTGGAGAGTCCAGCCCACATGGTCCATAATCTCCAACAGATCGGCACCTTTTAAGGTTAAAGTGATCGCACAGCCGGCACGAAAGCCATGAAGAGTCTAGCCTGCGTGGCAGGCGCAAAAAGGGGAGGGAGAGGGGGAAGGGAGGGAGAAAATCCCCCTCCTTTTGCCCTTCCTCCCTTTCCCCTACCCCTTTCGACGCCCGTCCGTCTTCATCTCCTTTAGGTAACCCTTTAAACGTGATTCAGCCCCCGAGGAAGTAAAGGGAACATAAGATAAGATGAGAAGATGCTTTTTTTTTAAGTGGCGCATACTCTTAGCTACATGGGTTAGTTAAAAAAGAAAACTTCATCAGCTAATTCACAGGTATGCCACTGTAAGTGAAACGTTATAGCAACAAAAATGATTAAAACAATATAAAAGCTATTTACAATTAAAATTAAGTTAACATACATAAAATACTATTAAAAATTATGTAGAAAATCGTCGATACTGAATTAATGACTCATTTTCTAACAGGTTTTTGAACGTTTTAAAATCGGACGACGCTATTACGATATAGGCAAGTTGTTCCAGACTTTGGGCGCCTGATACCGCTAGGAATTGAGTCCAAAGCGTGTTGTGTTGACCTTAGGCTTATGTCCTTTCCTCTCAAGGCATATGTTGTTTCTCGTAATGAGATTAACTCATTTAAGCTCTCCGGGTTCGTTTTATTATTTACGAGTTTAAAAACGGAACAGAGAATTTTACTCAATCTCTGCTCCATCAGGGTTCTTCTTAAAATGCTTAAGAAGTTCTTCATACGTAATTTGTTTGTCTCTACAAACAAACCGAACTGCTCTTTTATTTACTTTCTCCAGTGTTTCAGCCGAACTGTTATTGCAGAAATGCCAGGTTTGGGCACAGTAATTGAAATGTGGTACAATAAATGGCATTTAAATATTCTTTCTTATATCGAAAGGAAGTATATTTCTCATGCGCTTTAAAACTGCAACTTTTAGAGTTACTTTTCTACAGATATTAGCGACTTGCTTATCGAATTTCAACATATCATCAACAGTAACTCCAAGCATCTGAAGCGCATCGCCATTTGGAATGATGTTATTTTCGCAGCGAAATTCTGGATTAACTTTCCTATAACCATTACCATAGCCCTAAGTATTTAGAGAGGTTTCTTTTCATGCCATTTTTCAAAAACCATTTATCTAAATATGATAAGTCTGAGTTTATGTTTCCTGGACTATCCAAGGACCCTTATCGTCAAATAAAATCTGTGTGTCATCTGCGTAAGTCGTTAGGTTACTACGCTTTATCACGTAAACAAGATCGTTCATAAATACCGCAAAATTCCGAAAATAAGCCCCTCCATGTATAAGCCCGTCCAAATATAAGCCCCCCAAACTCGTAACGCAAAAAACCCTCCGTTTAATCGCCCCTCCGAATATAACAGCCGGGGGCTTGCACTTGGAAATTGCCCCCAAATACAGAACAAAACAAAACAAAAACGGTAAAATTTCCTTCCAACTATAAGCTTGCCCAATCACTTTTGAAACCCAAATTTCCCTCCGTACATAAGCCCCTCCGAATATAAGCCCCTCCAAAAATAAGCCCCCTCAAAAATGATCTTTGAAAAATACATGTATAAGCCCCGGGGCTTATTTTCGGGATTTTTCGGTATGCTGAATAGAACAGGGCCAAGCCTGAACCCTTGGGGAATTTCAATCATTATATCCTTCCATGTCATGAGAATGAACGTTTCCAGATTTCACCCGTTGCCTTCAATTAGAAAGATAGTCCTTTATAAGGTCAACAATTTTGTCGTAAACTGACTATTGCTTTAATTTCAGTACTATTAAATCATGCGGCGGAGTGTCAAAGACTTTTGATAAATCCATTGAAACTATGCCCATTATCTTATGATTGTCAACTCTTGATTCCATCGTTCTGTTAGACTAAGAATAGCAGTCTCTCATCCATCGTGTTACGTATATGCGAACACATATCCTTAAAACCCAGATCCGGCGTAGTTGCGCGAAACAAGTAACCACGCGTTAAATCCACTCCAACGTCACGCGCGAGCCCCAGGTAGCGCTCGATGCCTCGAATAGGGCAGATTTCCCCTTACACCAAACACATTCACATCCCCATCCCTAAGTGTCTTGCCCCAAATGTGGTTGAAAAGAAACCCATCATCGTCGGGGAAACGTAGGATTTCAGGAACCTTAACCTATCCCAAATCTCCGGGTTGATCCCCACTAAAGAAGGCTAATTTAAAATATGCCTTATCGCGGGCTATCGCAAATCTGTCAATTGCTCTCTCGGCGTGTCGTAACTTCCTGTCCAAATGTAAACACAATTGCGTCAGCTTATCAACAAAGAACGGAATGGCCTGCTTAGGTTTTAACCTTGCCTGTAATTGTTCCACCGTTACTAGCCTCAAGAGATCCTTTACCGATTTATCCGCCGCTGGATTTTCTAGGCCTAGACGCTTGTCCCACTCACCATCCCGTCCAAGAGAGTGAAAGATGTTTTGTAGCTTACCAATATAAGAGGCTAATGTCTTGTATGACAAACGTACTGAACATCCACAGTCATACTTTCCCTTTTCCCCTTTATGTCTACAGCAAGAATTATAGTCTCTTGGTCTACAGTCATTACGGTGAACCTGGTTTTTTCCATCCTTGTCCGTAAAAACCAGGAACCGACAGATATCGCGCGGAGCAACAGTCGCTAGGATTACATAGCCAGGGAGTGAACCGAAGAACATGTCGAACTCCTTTTTTAAGGAGTCCTTCTGCTTGGCATAGGCTGCTGCACGATCAAAATTCATTAATTGCTGTAAACGTTGGTCGGTTTTCTCGTGATCACCGGCAATCCTACGAACACTCTCCGTCGTATTGACTTTCCGCTTATAACTACGATGTTGGCAGAAACGCAAATCCTGATCGTTCGCATAAGAACACACTGGACATCTCACGGGCGTGAAGGTCGACGTTTGAAACGGGGCTTAGATCTTATGATGCCCTAAGAATATTGTACTGAATCAAAAGTGCTAGTCTGCTCCGAATAGCCGGCCGTCTGCTTGCAGGAGCCTGAGCACGAGGAGTATGGTCCAGGGCCAGGTGGATAAAGGGACGAAAATAACGTTGCTCTGCCGATGCTTTTGACACTCACTTTCAATAAAAGCATCCGTATTAGAAAAATAACTTATTAAAAGGATAACGTTATCTACTCGTTAAAAATCCAAGGTGGTGCGCATAACTGTGAATGCACAACTGATACGAATGTCAGTAGCCTGCTTGGAGCCTGCGTGAGAACCGTTTGAAAGGAAAGGGGCAGGAATTTGGGCGCGAGGGAGAGGGAACCACCGTCTTTCCCTACCCTTTCGAACGCGTGCCACGCAGGCCCCACGCAGGCCCCACGCAGGCTACTGACATTCGTGACGGTTTTCAGTGTGCTTGTGTTATTTGAAGATAAGCAATCTATCAATTTTGTATATTAACTGGTGGATTAATACCCCTTTTAAATGCTACGCCCTTCACAGGACACTAAGGGCACTGACAAGATGCCCAACTTGCTCTTCGCTACTCCTAGCTGACTTTTGACTGATTTTGCTCATTTTTCAGGAAAACAATAAAAAGGGAAAAAAATTCAGGTTAGTGACGTGTATTTACAGTATTTAGTTTGATCCGCTACCTCGTTTAATATAAGACACGATTTTTATCTATTCCGAAAGTTCAAAACCGTTCCCCTACTGTTCAACCTATGCCCCTTGATCAGCTCCCTTTACTTCTATTGAGTAAAAGCAGTCCCCTGTGAAGTGTCAGTTTTTCACGACTGATTTTCGTGGTAGTACCAGCGAGTCGGATTTGCCCTTTTAAGAGCTGTCAACACTGAAATAACTCAGGACCCATGCTTACCATACGACTTGAAGAACGAAATGGCTAGACCCTCCTCCCTCCAGGCTTTGTGGCTTGTAGAGCGATGACCTCAAGCGAATAATGCCGTCATCTATACGAAAGGGCCACCCTACTCCAATTGAACGAGGTGTGGCCTTTAAACACAATGCGTTACTTTCCTTTCAAATACAACTACACTGGCAGTCAGTTCTTTCAAATCTGCGCGCATTTTATATCTGTTGTTAGCAAATGCACGACGTTTTCTGCGGGAAAAAGGAAAAGAAAGGTCTTGCGCGCGGTTTTTAGAAGTACTGTTTCGTTGTTTCATAACGGAAAGGTGTGGCAACTTTGCTTCCGACCCAAGAGTGCCCAAAACAATAGTCGCATGTAGTAACTCCAGTGAAAGTACTTCCCAAATGTTTGAATTTGTACTGCATTTGCGACTTTTATCTTAAATTGCTTGCAGATCCTACATTATAGCGTCGGTATTTGCATAGTGCACTATGACCAAGCCGCAGGGAAGTTGACCGAGATGATCTAAGTTGTTTTTCCACATGTCTTTGAAATCTGCTCTCACCCATAAACATGCTCAGTGCAAACATTCCGCTTGAATCAGCGATGTTTATTTCTCCACCCCCACGATCATCAAATTGGACGGCGGCGGTTCATAACCGAAGCAGGCATGTTGTAGTGTTTTTTGAAAGTTTGCGCTTGTGTAAGGGTCATTTATTTTTAGTGCCTTTCTTTTCCGATTGTTTACAATGGCTAACAAAAGAACAATGAGGAATATGAAAACTATTTTTCTGAAAGTTATTAGTGTTCAAATTAAAACTCGGTCAACTGCAAATTCCAAGGACAAAGGATGGAAACCATTAGTTCAGTTTTTGTAAGAACTTATTAAGCCCTTTTGTCATTGTTTTCCGCTGTTTGCATGTTTCGTACGAATTTTCTGGTTTATTTTTAACCTTAAGCTCTGGGGCCATTATTTGCTTTTTCGAAAAAGCGGCGTAAATCCGACTGGAATAGCAGTAATACGCAAAGTAAGAGATAAGTGCTATCAAATTTAAACGATGTTAATTTGATCGATTCACTGCTATTCAAAACATGAGTGATTATTAAAATACTGAGTGAAGTAAACAAAACGTGACTAACGGCCCTTTTGAGAAGTAATATTTTGCCAATAACATAACGTTTAGTACATCAATATGTTTTTTATTGGCGACACTATAATACGTATATATAAAACTATAAGTAACTCACTCTCCAAATTACATACGTTTTCTTCATATCAGTTACAATAAATTAACTTCATGGATTTCACTTTTTTTGTTAATCATATCATATCTCTTTTGACTGGTGGACATAATCGGCGTCTTCGCGATTTAAGTTATCCTTTGATTGTCCTTTTCAATTCGTGACTGACCAGCGCCCGAACTGATTCTTTTTTTTTTTTTTCGTCAGTGTATGTAGTTAATGTTTAAAGACAACTTTTCTAGCGTTGTTGATTTTAGCTGTAGTGGTTTGAGTTCGGCCGGAAACACTGCTCTCTATCTGCACGCCGATCTACGCGTGTCGGGCACGTTAGAAGTGTGTTTTTAAGGCGCTGATGGCTTTCTTAGCATAAGGTAAACTTAGGAGCTGTCTAATGAAGAAGCAAACGCGGAGGACATCGTTCAGTCATCACTGTTGTCGAACACCTCTTGAAATTCCTACATACACTGCACTAAGTCTATTTTGTACATTATGTAATTAATTTCTTGACACCGTGTTACTGAAAGCCCGTGAATGAGGTGCGAATTTGTTTATTTTTACCCAGGTATTCGATTAATTCAAGAAGCGTGCGCTGTACGTACTTTTTGTTCACTTAAGAAAGGGCTAATTAAAAAAGGAGCTAACCGTACCCCAAACAAAAAGCGCACAAAAGATTTTCGCAACTCAGTGTAGTGGTTTAAGTCCAAGTTCTCTGTATTTTTGTACCCTCACCTATACCTCTCATAAAGTTTATCTGTAGAATTCGACTTGATTTTCAGCTACAACAGCCACCTCACTTGCGAGACCCGGGAAACCAAAAACAGACTGCTTGCTAGACTCGTCATTGTAAGCACTTGCATTTACACTCCGAGATCACGGGGTGGTGAAATGGCAGCCACATGCAAGTAGTCTCCTTCCTTTGGGCGAATCTGTCAAGACAATGCCATCGCAGCACACCCACGTCCTTAGTACTTGAAATCCGGCACCTCATCCCAGAAGGAAACGAGCATGTGGCTTTCTTTGAGCATCGCCCGACATTAATGTGACGAGGCCAATAACGCACCCCTAGATCTTTCCATTTGGGAAGAACAGGGCAATGCGACACTTGCCATAGCCACAGCTGAAGCTTTTTACTCGCCTTAGATCCAAGGTATCTTTTCATCCCGGGCATTTTGAAATTGAGGTTTTTTATTTCTTGCGGCATGCTTTGGACCAACATTTTTCGCACAAAGTCCTGTTGTCGGTCGCCGTGAGTGGAACTGTAGTTGTTTTTCTTCATGAGGAGCTCCTCTTTGTTGATGGCGGTATTTACTTGATCGTAATCTTTGCCCAGTTTTTCTTTCAGCAAGGGTATGTCGAAGTCGCTTTCTATTGGGTCGCTGGGATAGTTCTTTGGTTCTGTTGGTATTCTCAGCTTAAGCTTGTCCCTTGCTGCACCGACAGGCTGCGGAGCTGGATCCGGTAGGAGAGGGTTCCAAGATTGCGCCTTGGAAGAAATTTGTAAAACACTGCTCAGAAAACAGGCAGCGAGAATCGTGGAAAAGCCCTGGAACCTGAAGTTACGCATTTCCACGAGACTGCTAGTGCACTGGGTAATTCAGTCTCTATATTGTCACTTGGTGGTCTTCTTTCCGCGTCGTGTTGCTAGTGGTGCGTGTAACTTGACTGGTGAAGCCAACTGTTAAGAGGTCCAACTCGAATGCTTCTTTAGTTCACTTGTCTGTCACTCCAGTTATCACACTGTTCCAAAATCAAGATCAGAAAATAAATACATTACATCCGACTATGATCGACCAGTATTTATTTAAGGGAGACGAATTGTCTAGTCGCTGTGATAGCAGCATTAAACTGGTTCGCCGAGAAGCGTGCGTTCTATCTCCGTCAGCCAACCTTAGCTGATATTGAGGTGAACACCATTTGATGCGTGTACAATTTGGCACATCGCGGAAATGTCCCACAGCTTTCCTGAGTTCTGTGGTTTCTAGAATTTTTTTTTTAAAAGACGACTTTAACGTACTTAGTAGCTGGCAGATGATTAACATGCAGTCTTGGCTATAGAGCTGGTGTCTTAATTCACCTTGCAATTTAGCGAATGTCGGTAAATTTCACTCGAACAGATTCTGTAGCTTTTGAAAATGAGATGAAACGAAACACATCCTTTGTGGTTAGCGAGTCGCCTTGTAATGAGACCGGTGAACAGTCATTTCTTTTTGACCTGAATGTACTAAGTGTTAATTGCTCGTAATGTTTCGGAACGTGTATTTTACTTAGAGTTAAACTCAGCAAGGAACAAGGACCTTATTTATCAGGTCAACTGGGGGCGGGGATTTAGTGAGCAGCCTCCAACAGCTTTTTACCCGGTTCAGCGATCTGCCTTATATGCATGGCTTCTCTTATCGTGTTCCCATCCTTGGCTATTGTTTTTGAAAATCCATTTATCCCCTAATACCCCTAATCCTTTTTTATCACGAAAAGTGACATTTATTAATACCATGCTAACTGATGTTTGCTCCCTAGCAAGAGTGGAGCCTTAACAATTTCTTTGTTGAAGAGTGCTATTTGAATTAAGCTTTGTTAACGAAATTAATAAAGGGTTAATGAGTTTAAGAACCTTCTAACCTAGGGAACTGATACTTTTAAAAGTGGCCAAGCCTTTCACGATTTTCAGGGCTAAGTGACG